ATCCTAGCAGTTTGAAAGCATGTAAATGCGAGTAGATAAATAGGTACCACTTTGGTGAGAAGGTAACAGTGTTTCTTGAGCCTTGGAGTTTAGTCATCCTGGCTACATGACCATGGAAATTGTCTGGGGACAAACACTGTCTCCCCTTGCTAGGAAACAGAGATGAACACTGTCCCCTAGAGTCGGACATGGCTGAACTTAATGTCAAGGGGAAACCTTTACCTTTTATCAACAGTTATCATTTTGCCATTCTCACTGAGTAGTTTTCCTGTCTTTTACTGTGACTTATCTGAAGAAGGCCTTTTTGTGGCTTTTAGCATCCCTTGCTAGCCTCAGCTTATTCTCAGATTTAATCTTCTTCATTCTATCCCCAAAATTCTATGCTATTTACCTTTATTCTTTCTTCATTCCCTGACTTTACTTCCATTTCTTTTATATGTCCTTTGTTTTCTGGTCATCTCTAAGCTTTTTGTGAAACTATATTGACTTCTTTTGTACTTTTCTACCTTATTTTCCTTGTGGAATTGTTTGTAAATAGAATTTCCATTAAAAAAAAATCCCATCCAACTTGAACTCCTTTTCTCATTAGTGTTACTTACTTACTGTTCCAAGTTTATTAAAATCAGCTTTCCTAAAATTCAGGGCCTTCATTTGGCTATTCTTGGCTTTTGCTTCCTTTAGAATCAATAATTCAAGTATGAAATTATCATTTTCCTCCAGAGCTCTCATAATTCTAACATGATCTGCAAGATCATTCTTGTTGGTCCAAATCAGATCAGGGATAACCAGACCTCTAGACCTTCCTCTTTCACATTCTGTAGGAAGTAGTCACCAGCAACACAAATCAGAAAATTCTTAGAGTGGCCTTGTTTGGCAAAAATTGTTCCTCCCAGATACCATGGAAATTTAAGTCCCCTGTCATTACTGCACCATGCTTCCTTGAAGCATTGGCAATTTAGTTTTCAAGTTTCACCTTCGTGTTTTCTTTGACAGGATGGCCAGTAGTAGACTCTAACTGTTTGCTTTTGCTCCATTAATCCATATGCTCTTGATGGAGCTACTAAACTCATTATCCTGCATTTCTGTGTGTTCTTCTTGAACAAGTTCTATCCTTCAGTTGCTAAATTCCATTCATGGGAATCATCCAAGTTTCAGTTACACCTTTTAAGTCATATTTGCTCACCTATGTTAAGATTTCAAGTTCATGTTGTTTGTTTCTAATACACTGTGCATTAGTATATAGACAACAAAGACCACATCCTTTATAGTCAAGCCTTCTTCCTACTGTTGGGGTAGTATTGGAGCTTCACTCACCATTGTGGTGCATAAGCTTTTGTCCATTGCCACCCACAAGTTTACTTTCCCCTCCCCTGTAAGGTTAAGTTTCAAGCTGTCCTGATGATGAAAACATACTTTCCAGTCCTTTTGAGAATGCAACTGTAGCAGTCCATCTTCCAGCCCATGTTCATATCTTGATTTTTGGAACCACCTTTGTAGCCAGGCATTCATCCAGAAGACTTTTCTTTCCCTTTTTTGTTCCTCTCCCAAGTACTGGAAAAATGGATGAGAAGACTAGATTGGCTCCAAATTTCTTGAGTTTCTTTCCTAAAGCTTCAAAGTCTGGTGTGATTTCTTCAAAACTATGCTTAGTGGTATTATATGTTCCACATGGTTGAAAAGGGGTATTTGTCAGTAGCCTTTATGAGCAATGGCAGCTCTTCAATCACATCTCTATCCTCTAGGGATAGCATTCCTGGTGAATCTATAGGTCTTCCATTATGCAAAGTATGGAGTCACCCACAACAATTACTCCTCTCTTCTAGTTGTCTTAATGTTACAGCCTCTGCTTGACTGACTGTCAGCCTTTGATATTGCAATAGTCAAGTGTATGGAGTTTGGGGCTGATATGAGGTACATTTTCAGAAGTAGCAGCAAACCATAGGTTATCATAAGTATAGGATTCTGTGAGCTTCAGGCTCATACAGGTTCTTTTTCCTCTCTGCCTAATTGCAGAGCTTTGCAGGAGGAAGAGATTAGAAGTACTGCTTCTAGCTTGAATCAAACTGTATCTCGTTGTACTATCCTGATGTAACAAATTGATTTGTTCAAACTATAGTTTGTTCTAAAACTGGGATCATGTACAAAGGCATTTTGCTGAAACACAAGGAGAGAAACTGTCTGTGTTCCTGCTGGATATGAATTTAAAGCTTTGGGACATGTCTGCATGACAAATTTACGGGGACTGGTGCAGGGTGGATTTGATTTAAATCAAATTGATTTAAATCATGATTTAAAGAACTATTTAAATCACTAGTCAGTAAGACTAGATTTAAATCATGGTTTTCAATATAATTTGCACACATGCTTGCCTTAGCCATAGGTAGAGGAACTACATTAAAATATTCCCAAACCAGGTCTTATTTACAGCCTGCTGCAATTATATGTTTTTTCCTCCAGGGAGTTAATAATATAATACACCTCAGGCTATGCACAAAATGATTCAAAGACTTGTGGAGTATTCTGCTCAAAAGGGTTCACTTTCAGTTTTACTGCTTGCTCCTCCCTCCGCACACTTAGCTTCTTGTACAGATCTACTGTATTCCACTCCCAACAATCTTCTATTCATTGAATTTTTTGAACCTTAGCACTTAAGAGGTGTGTGCATAGATTTGCAAAGAAACAATGAGATTAAAGTATTTTTCTCCACTCTGTATATTTATTTTATACCATTTTTGCTGTGAAGAAATCTCTGCAGATACAAATGCTATAACTTTATAGAACTATAAAGAGAGAACTATAAAACCAAGCATCTGTAATATTATCTTTTAGATAGAAAAATTGCCCAATAATCTTACAGAAATCTCTGTAAGAGCTTGACATTGTAAATGGATTAATGAAATTCATTTACCAAAAAATTAAATGTTGCATGAATGTAAAGCTTCCCGCTACACAATTAAAAACTAATCTTGAGTTCATGATGAATACCCCTGGACTATAAAGTATCTTAAATAGACAAGTATCTTTAGATAGATTTTTCTATTTTTTAGAAATCCAATTCAAATCAAAAATCTATTTTTATTATTTTTAAATCATTGATTTTTATCCACCTGGACTGGGGAAAAGTTAGCTTTAGATGAAGCAGCAGGCTTTGCCATAAACAAATATTTAAGATACTAAGCATAAAAATTTATATACTGTTGTTATAAATACAGGCCATAACTGAATTAGAACTTGGTTTAAGTCTATTTCTTGATGGTTATGGCTCCCAATCAGAGAATCCATAAAACGTAGCCTTTTTGTGTAGTAAAGGATTTCTACCAAATAGATATTTCCAACATCATAACTAGGCTGTTTTGTTTTGTTTTTTGGAAAATCCATAATAAATGTATTTCAAACTATTTTGAATATGTCCCTTTAAAATTAATTCTTTACTCTAGATTCATTTCAGTTGGGGTTTATGCCTGGCTTTGGTACAGTAACAAAGTACCCTGTATGATACACAGACTGTGATCCTTTTGATACTAGACCGCTTGGTATCAACTGGCTCAGATGGGAGTTGGGGGCACTGCATTGCAATGGTTCTGCTTCTGCGTAGAGGACTGTCTCCAAAAGGTGGTGCTTGGGGAATATTGTTCATTCCTGTGATTCTCCAGCATGGAGTTCCTCAAGGTTCTCTTCTGTCCTCCATGAAATTGCTGAGTGGGGACATCTGGAGTTTTGGAATGCATTGCCATCAGTATGTGATGACACGCAGATCTATTTCTCCTTACCATTGTTGGCAGGTAAGGCTCTGGGTGTATTAAACTGGTGTTTGGATACAGTAATGGACTGGAGGGGGGCTAACAAACTGAAACTCAGATCAGACAAGACTGATATACTGTTGGTGAGTGATTTCTCTGACCAGATGGGGGATGCTCAACCTCTACTAGACAGGGTCACACTCCCCCTTGAAGGAGCTGGTTCATAGCTTGGGGGGGTGGGTGCTTCTTAATCCATCTTTTGTCAAGTTGACAAAACAGAACAATGTCAAGTTGAGGTTGATATTGGTGGCTCAGAGTGCTTTCTACCAGCTTTGGCTGGTGCTCGAGCTGTTGCCCCTACCTGAAGAGGGATAGCTGGCTTCAAGTAATCTATGGTCTGGTAGTCTCTAGATTAGATTACTGCAACACACTCTACATGGGGTTGCCCTTGGAAATGGTTCAGAAACAGCAGCTGGTGCTGAAGGGAGCAGCCAAATTAATAACTGGGACCTGGAGGTCCAAACATATAAAACCAGTTTTGGCCCATCTGCATTGGCTGTGTTGGCTGTCTGTATGCTTCTGGTCCCAATTTAAGGTGCTGGTCTTTAAAGCCCTACATAGCTTGGAACTGCAATCCTTGTCGGAGTGTCTGCCCCAACCCCAATCTACCCAGACGCAATGCTCAGCATCTGGGGCCTTCCTCCAGGTGCCAACCCCTTGACAACTAGAGGGAGGGCCTTTTCAGTGGTGATCCTCTCCACCTTTGGAACAACCTTCCTGCTTGCATAGCATCAAATTTGCCATCTTTTGAGCTGTCTTTGCAAAGGGCTTTAAAGACTTCCCTGATCTTTCTGAGGCCTGATACGAAGCAAGTTGCCTTTCTTTTACTCTTCACTGGATCTTGTCTTTTTTCTTTTTAATGTGCTCTATAAATTGTCTTTTTATTGTGTTCTATTATTATTTTATGCTGTTTTAAATTAATTTTCAATTCTTAATGTTTTTATCAGTTGTATTTTATTGTTTTTATACTTTGTTGTAAACTGCCCAGAGAGCTTCAGCTATGGGTGGTATAGAAATTGAATGAGTGATTATTTTTATGCTTAATTCTTTACTCTGGGAAAGTTGGAACTGTTAATTTTAGCACAAAGTGTAGATATAATTCTGCAAAAAGAATGACAGTGTTTCTGTGTTTTAATTGTAACTGTAGACAATACACTGCAAGGTAGTCATCACTGTTAAATTAATATATATTTCTTACAGATATGCAAGCCTCTACTTCTGCTGTGCCATCGAAGACCAGGATAATGAGCTAATAACCCTGGAGATAATTCACCGTTATGTAGAACTGCTTGATAAATATTTTGGAAGTGTAAGTTGTTTACTGTGGTTTTCCTAGTCTTTCAAAGTTACTGGGTTGGATCCAGAGTTTTCATTCAGCAGAGTTTCACTGGTATTGGAGAAACAGGGCACAGTGATTTTTGCAAGTTCCTCCCTTCCACATTAATAGTTGAAAGTTAGGAAATGCTGTACACTAGAGGTAGTGCTAGGGGGTGTAGAAATTGGAATGAGGAAACTGCCCTGTCCTGCCCTGTTCCTTCTGTGGGCAGTTCCCCTGGATTTTAAGCCCTTTTGTGAGTGGGATGAGTCATTCTGTTTGTGGAGGGGAAATTCTGAATCCAACCCTGAGTGTATAAATAGATGTAATGAATTTTTAATATTGTCTGTGTTCGTGCTTACTTGGGCATAAAGAAAAGCTGTTCAACACACATGCAGTTCACCTGGTGAATCTTAGCAATATTCTGCACTTGGAAAAATAAGAGAATAATGAATAGCATTGATGTAGTATTTGGCTTTATTTTATGGCATGCATGATCGAATCCACTAAAAATCAGAAATTGATGAATCAGAACCATACCATGAATTAGAACAAAGAGTTATCTATTACAATATATTATGTAGGTTGCTTTCTTACTAATAAATCTAATAATAAATGTATTAGTCGGAACTATATGTTGCTTAACATCAAGTAAAAAACACTGAACATAGGCTGTCATTTCCTTTATTGTTTTCACTGTTTCTTTTAATCATGAAAGGATTTTTTTAATGTCTTGATATTATATACCTTGTTAATAAGTGATGCTTATTAACAAAATGCTAGCCAAGAGATCTTTTAAGATGATTAATTGGTAAGCAGACTTTCTGACTTGTAAATATTTTTACTTCAACGGTTGTTCCTGAACTGATATTTTTATAATAATATTTGTCTCAAAGTTTGTTCCTTTCCAGTTTTTGTGTAACCTGTAACTTGTGCCCCAAATGATGACATGATGAAATGGTGGCACTGTTGTAATGTGTATATAATACACAACCAGAGAATATTAAGTGGCATATTGAATCCCAGTATCCCATCTTTTCATCTTTTCTAGGTATGTGAACTTGATATCATCTTCAATTTTGAGAAAGCTTATTTTATTTTGGATGAATTTCTCTTGGGAGGAGAAGTTCAGGAGACCTCAAAGAAAAATGTTCTTAAAGCCATTGAGCAGGCAGATCTATTACAGGAGGTAAGCAAGCTTGATTTTTTTTTGCCAAAGCACACCAGCATGCTGTGCTTTTGTCTATGAAAAGCTTTTATTTCTCCAAAGATGCAGACAAAGCTTTTCAGCATGTCTAGCATGTAGTTTCTAGTTAATATACAGTATTGCTTTGCTCGTTTCTTGTTCTTTTACTTAGACTTCACTTCATTCAATGTATTCACTCCCATGTGGAGTGGTAGTACTGCTTTTTATAGCCTTGTTTGTATAGTTTCTTTAGTGCAGCTATCGCTAGACATGCAGCTGCTGTTGTCATGTGTGTGTTTCTTGCTATCTAGGCATTTCTATGTTAATTTAATTTCTATCAATTTCTTAATATTCAGTTGAGTTAATAATTATAACTAATTTTCGTCATACCTGATGCATGTATGCCTCTTTCATTGCTGAAATCCAGAAGCTAGACTCTCTTCTTTGAGACATATTCAGGTATAGTTAAGATTGTTTTAAAAACAAGTCATAATACCTTAGTTAATTTGATGTGCACTATGAATTTAGAAAGTAGTTATAGCACTAGTCTTAGAAGCATAACAAATTGAATAGCTTGATATTGAAACCTTTACTCTCATAGCTAAAAAATGCATAAATATTACTGTTCTCTGCTAACTTTAGTGTATTGATTTAGAACTATGAACTAGGTTAAATATAGCAGTTGGGTAAATAGAACATCTAACTTTTTTGAAGAAGGTAAAATTTGTTATTCCCACTTTTGCAGCTATAATCTTGAGATAATATAGAACTGGTAATATATGTTGTTTGGACTGTGGCTCTGACTTCACTGTGGATTAGTTCCTACACATTCAGATGTGTCCAATGTTAGTCTTACTTAGAGGGAGACCCATTAAAATGAATGGAACTTAAACTAACATTAGATGCAGTCCATTAGTCTGAAGAGTATTGGTTAAGACTGTGTTGGTCCAGTCATATACATTTAAACTGTGGCTTTGTTCTGTAAACATTATAAGATGTATGTTTGTTTTGATATGTTATGTGTTGTTTGGGTTCATCCTTCAGTCCCTGGGCCACCTGCATTGTACTATTTTAATGGTACATTTCTTTCAAGTAGCAAAACACATACTTTAATCCTGCCTATTTGAGAGAGCTGTACTATCTGACATTGTACAGTTTCTTGAGGACTTAGTCACCTCAAAATGCACATTGGGATGGCTTATTTGAAAGCACATCAGTAAAATTCTCCTTACAATGCTAACGTATTGGGGGGAAAGACAAACTGAGGTAGACATTAATATAGGAATACACCGGGAAGATAAATGTATAAAAATATTACAAACATTTGTAGGGAGGGAACTGCAGAAGGCACAGGTGGCAAAGAGAGCAGACTGCTGTCTAAGTCAGTAAAGACTTCGCATAGTATGCTGCAGTCTTTTTTTCTCCCATTTTCTTGTAGTATGATAGGTTCTTCCTCATGTGAGGTGTAACCTATTCATACTTGCTCAACCATTTTTAATGTTTTTTGCGGGGTGCAATTTTACATTGCCCTTTAAACTTACATTCCAGAGCAAAATAATAGCTCGGTTAATATCTCTAAAACAAAACCTGAGTTGTACTTTGTGACACATGTAAAGCTGCTTTGGTGGCTCTTTTTGGAAAGTCTTCAAAATGACCCATCTGTAACCACACCTTTAATTCCCTTTCTTGGAGCATGAAATTATGTGCTCCCCCCACTTCTTTGGTAGCAAGTTCCTCCCACCTCTTGCCACACCTACAGGGAATCAGCACATACTCCAGGGATAGAGTTGTCTCAGAAGTTTCTATTGGCACATTTTCAGGATAGTGGGCATCAAGCCCCTGGCAGTCTGTTGTTTTCATTGAGACTATCCACTGTGAGCTTTAGAGCAGACTCTCCAAGAATCTTTATGATATGAAATAATCACTATGCTATTGTTTTAGCATGCAACTTCAAGTGACAGACAGTGTTAGAAAGTAACTATTCTATTGAATTTCCTGAAGAATTTATTTCTTCTGTGTAGATGTTGCATGAATACATTTTTGTTAATCAGATTGAAGACATTTAGTTGTAATTTTTTTTTTTTATAATTCTGTGGCAGTTCTCATGGGATGTGCTTATCTAACTTGGCAACAGCATAGTTATTGTTTAATTTCTGTACCACCCAATAGCCAGATCTCTCCAGGGAGTTTCCAATAGTTCATAAAAACAGTACAGTAAAACATAATGAAATGCCATTATGACAATATTCCTCCAGACTCTCCTATCCTCCACCATCCCCCAGAGTCCACCTAAGCTCACGACTGCCCCAGTGACTCTATCTAGCCACGTCAATCTCTGCCGTCCCCTTCTTTTGCCATCTATTGTTCCCAGCATTAGGCTCTTCTCCAGTGAGTCCTTCCTTCTCATTAACTGGCCAAAGTATTTGAGTTTCATCTTCAGTATCTTGCCTTCTAAAGAGCAGTCAGGGTTGATCTCCTCTGACTGGTTTGATCACCTTGCAGTCCAAGGGACTCGCAGGAGACTCCTCCAGCACCACAATTCAAAGGCCTCAATCCTTTTGCGCTCAGCCTTCCTTATGGTCCAGCTTTCACAGCCATACATTGCAACTGGGAAAAAACCATAGCCTTGACTATACGAACTTTTGTTGGCAGTCACCGTCTGCAGTGATCTTGGAGCCCAGGAAAATGAAATCTGTCACTACCTCCATTTCTTCCCCATCTATTTGTCAGACAGTGAAAGGACCAGATGCCATGATCTTTGATTTCTTAATGTTGAGTTTCAAGCCAACTTTTGCGCTTTCCTCTTTCACCCACATCAAGAGACTCTTTAGTTCCTCTTCACTTTCTGCCATTAGAGTGGTATCATCTGCATATCTGAGGTTGCTGATATTTCTCCCAGCAATCTTAATTTTAACTTGTGATTCATCTAGCCCCGCCTTTCTCATGATGTGCTCTGCATATAAGTTAAATAGGCAGGGTGACAGTATGCAGCTTTGCTGTACACCTTTCCCAGTTTTGAACCAATCAGTAGTTCCATGTCCAGTTCTCACTGTTGCTTCTTGATCTGCATACAGGTTTCTCAAGAGACCAATAAGATGGTCTTGTACTCCCATCTCTTTAAGAACTTGCCACAATTTGTTGTGGTCCACACAATCAAAGACTTTAGCATAGTCATTGATGCAGAAGTAGATGTTTTTCTTGAACTCCTTAGCTTTCTCTATGTTCTAGTGTATGTTGACAATTTGATCTCTAGTTTCTCTCCCTCTTCGAAACCCTTCCTGTACTTCTGGTAGTTCTCGGTCCACATACTGCTGTAGCCTAGTTTGTAGGATTTTGAACGTAACTTTGCTAGCATGTGAAATGGGTGTAATGGTGAGGTAGTTTGAACATTCTTTGGCATTTCCCTTCTTTGCAATTGGAATGTAAACTGACCTTTTCCAATCCTGTAGCCACAACTGAGTTTTCCAAATTTTCAGGCATGTTGAGCATTCCAATCCCCCATGATGATAAGGATACCATTTTTTGGTATTATTTGTAGAAGGTGTTGTAGGCCTTCATAGAACCAATCAACTTCAGCCTCTTCAGCACCAGTGGTTGGGGCATAGACTTGGACTATTGTGGTGTTGAATGGTTTGCCTTGGATTCAAACTGAGATCATTCTGTCATTTTGGAGATTGTATCCCAGTACTGCTTTTCCTACTCTTTTATTCACTATGAAGGCTACTCCATTTCTTCTGAGGGATTCTTGCCTGCAATAGTATACCTGATGGTCATCTGAATTAAATCACCCATTCCTGCCCATTTTAGTTCACTGATTCCCAAGATGTCAATGTTCAATCTTGTCATCTCTTGTTTGACCACGTCCAGCTTACCTGGAATCATAGATCTTACATTCCAAGTTCCTATGCTGTAATGTTCTTTGCAGCAGTGGGCTTTCCTTTCATCACCAGATACATCTGCAACTGAGTGTCCTTTTGGCTTTGACCCAGTTGCTTCATTCTTTCTGGTGCTACTAGTACTCACCCTCTGCTCTTCCCCAGTAGCACATTGGACACCTTCCGACCTGAGAGGCTCATCTTCTGGCGTCCTATCTCTTTGCCTGTTGATACTGTCCATGGGGTTTTCATGGCAAGGATACTGGAGTGGGTTGCCATTTCCTTCTCCAGTGGATCAGCTTTTGTCAGAGCTCTCTGCTATGACCTGTCCGTCTTGGGTGCCCCTGCACAACATAGCTCATAGCTTCATTGCACTACGCAAGCCCCTTTGCCATGACAAGGCAGTGATCCCTGAAGGGGTTCCAGTATTTACTTCAGTATTTAAACTTAATATTTTACTACTTTCTTTAAAAAACTTCTTTCCAACAAATGTCTGCATTCCCACCATCTGTGGAAATATGTACCCACTCCCCAGCCACATCTCCAGCATAAATTAGAATATTTACTATCCATATGAGTCAGTTTTACTAGGTTTAGGTACCACTTTCATATCAATTTATTAAAATGTTGCTTTTTTCTTACTGACATATATTTTAATATTCTCTTATGCCACGCATTTCTCCACTTTTCATTACAAATATAATGTTTTCTATTATATTTTTAAAGGATCATATTGGTTCTCCTTTTCTAATAATATCTTAGAAATTTTGCTTAGTATTCCTTTCATCCACGTACTGACTTGTTTTTCATTTTCCACTATCATATCGTAAAATTTAGTATAATCTCTACATTCACCTTTTTTCTTTAACCAATGTTTAGTCCAACCTTCTAATTGAATCATATTTAACCAGGTATTTTTTCCCTTCTAGTACTACTTTTATCTTTTCCTTATTATTCATTTTCTCTAACCAGTCTTTTAACTTAATATTTGTTTATTCTTCACTGTTTTCCTCAAACCTTCTCTCAAATATAATGGGAATCCTTCTAATTCTATATTTGGATATAATGGTGAATTGATGACATCAATATTTCCTTATATTTATTCCAAATTTGTACCATATTCTTAAATAAATTATTTTCTGTCTATTTATAATATAAAAAAGGCAACCAAAGTCGTTGAGTGACGGCCTGCCACACAACTGGAGGCCTGCTTATATGTCTCAGAGCCTGCTGGATTGCCAGGGGCCAGAAGTCTTCACTCGGCACTTGATATACTCAGCTGGGGCCAGTGTGGGCAGCTTGCAACCAGTTCTTAAAGAGGCAAGCAGTCCACTTCCCCAACATTCCCAAAACCTTCTCAACAATTTTTACTGGCTTTGCTAGCCTCACCAAAAATGGTGACAACCATGACCTGGCTTGGCCTGAACTACAGTATCTTACCACTCTGAAAGAAAGTTTGTTGGTTTGGTTGCTGAAAGGCAAGGTGCTCTAAGTATGTTGGAGCAGTCAAGAAAAGCTCCTCACTTATCCTTCCCTACAAATAAGGATGGTGGCAGACTTGGTGATTTGGTGTTAAAAACTTTTAAAATGAATTTACCATAAAAATATTTAAAATTTCAAGTCCTTTTGTTCACACAAAATAAAAAAGCTCCACAGTAACAGCTTGTTTGTGTTACAACTTTTCAAGAAGTTGAAGGAAAGGAAACATCATTCCAGTCCTACCCTTTTCCATCTTCACAGATCCTCTTACATGCTTTTAAAGGCTGTGTATAATCTGTATTCTGTCTTGCTCTTTCCCATGTTGAATGAATATTTTGAGTTATTTTGTAATGCGTCTGTATTAAACCTTTTCTTAATATATTAATGAGCATAGATTAAGGTCTAAGATAGTCTTAACAAAAATAAACCCCTTAAACGTTCCAGTTGCCACTTTTCATTTTAATAGGTTGAGACGTAGTTTTATGGACTTGAGCTGCATGTTGTAGATTAGAGAAATGTGTTTCAGTTCACTTGTTATAGGGGGAATCAGTGTGGCCTTAAAGGATGTAGCAACCTCTTTAATAAAACAAAAATAAGTAAAAAGAATATAGTGGCTTAAACTTGGGACTCCTTGTACAAAATCTGGACAGGAAACAACCATAATTTATCATGCTATAATTTTTACAATGTCTTCTCCCAAGATCGCTTGAACATTTCTTTATGGTTCCATTTGACAAGCTTAAGCATTGAAGCATCAGGTGAAAATAAAGGCAACCAGTTTTCCCAAGACTGATTTATGTATACAATTGTGCATAGTTAGAATGTTGTTATTTTCAAACACATAATAGAATTCATTAAACAAAATAACATTCTGTAACACAGTTTAACAAACAAACTAGCTTGACCTCCTAGAGAGGGGCTGGCACATTTCAATTTTTGTTGGGAAAATTAGTACTTCCTTCATCTAACTCTTGAAGCTTGGTGTATCATTGCTTGTAAAGTTCTTTATTTCAGCATTCTGCAGGTAAATCATTACCACATCCATATGTAGAAGAGCAAATAATTCTTGCAAGGATACACCACATTAATGAGCTGACTTTCTGATGGAAAAAGTATCGAAATGATTTGTGGAGTCAAGCTTCAGACAACTGATTAAATTGGCTCTGTATTAAATGTCAGTGTCTTGCCTTTGCTCTGGCCCAAGAATTGATTTTATGTGAGGGACAGATGACCTAGCACCATAATAACTATCCAGCTAAAAGTGTTGGGGAAGGTTGTAATTAGGGAAAGAATGCATAGTCATTCTGTAAGCACCGCCTTCTCCAATAGCAAGTTACTTTGCTGAAGAAATGGGATTACTCAGAACCATGTTTATTAGACCTATGGCATTGTTCCATGCCACATACTTGAGTTGTGTGCAGCCATAGAATGGTAGCACTTTTGTAGCTCAGTCTCAAGCTGCTTTAGTTAAGCAACACTGTAAGAGCCTATGAGAGGAGCAATATCACACGGGTAGGTGAGGGCAGTGTTACAGACTAAATTTTGTGTTTCTGTCTGTGCATGTGTTCGTAAAGTTTTGTCCATCCTGTTTCTCATACAAAGTTTTGTCGTCCTGTTTCTCATACAATAGTGCTAAAATAGTTGACTTGGAATCAGAGCCCAGAGTTGTTTTAAGTGTTGGGTATTTGCTTAAAATCAGTTAGCTCACCATTGAGAAGGGTTGATAAATTTGCCAGCTTCTGAGGAAGAATTCTGCTTTTCAACCACATGCATAGTTTATGAAACAAACGTGCACTTGTAAAACTTTTACATTTAATTACAAAGTGGTTGCTTTTCATTACTAACTTGTTTGGTGGCTTGACCTCGTACCACAGACATAATCTTTAAACTATGTTAGAGAGGCAAGAATTCTGAACTAGAACTAGGCCTTCCTCTCCCTCCAAGTCTTATGTTTGTTGTGTCTTATACTGTTAGAGGATATATTATCTTGTATGGTACTAAATTATTTGAGAATAGTTTAGCTACCATCACTGAAGAGCAATTGCTAACTTAAAGGGAGCCTAAATTCCTTTTCATGTTTTTAGATTTATGTTGGACTCCTTAAGAAAAAAGGCAACTTTAAACAAGCTAGTTTTCTCTGAAAATAGTGACTTTAAAAACTCCATTATAAATAAATCGAATAGTCATACCCTTTCAAAACCAAAATCATTGCTTATCTTGTAAGGATACACCCTGAATATAATCTACTGAAGGACCAGATCAGAAACCATTAAGTTATATGTCTATCCTTTGCACATATAATATTGATGATCTGAGAGTAAGAAAAGCATGTGTGGGGAAGGGTGATGGGTTTTACTTTCTCCTGCACTATTACTATTTGTGGAGCTTTCTATATTTAGTGCTCCACTATATTTAGAGCACTTCTCAGTGCCCTGATATCAGGAGAAGAGGTAAAATGGGGGAGTGAAGGTTTAGTTTCCCTCTCCCATGTGCAACCTTTATTGTTAAATGTAGTCCCCTACCCCATCTCCAGTTCATACATTGAATGAAGCAGGTGGGTAAAAAGTAATTGATACCATCACATCAGGTTTGACTCTTACAAAAGCTCTCATTGTGTTAGGTCAGTTTCTCTCAAAACTGACCTGTGAGCTATATAATCTTGCTGAAAAAGAGAAAAATCTTACTTTGTTGAGTTCTCATATTTTATATGTGGAGTTCATTGGAGTCTTTGTTTTTATCACATTTTCATTAGCTTTGTTTTTGATAGTGTTGACTTGAGCAATGCAATGAAGCCACTTGCTTGAGTGTCTTAACTGCCCTCATATGTACAAGTCTCTGTGACAGTGGATTTTCTTTCTTAACAGCTAGTTTTGCTACAAGAAAATGTTAAAATTATACTATCGAATTTTCAATTCTGCTTGATTTTGTTTGTAGAGCCAGAATGAAGACTGGGGAGGTTTATCTGAGGATATCTTATGATTAAGAGCAATCTAAAGCCTTAGCGTTTTGATCCCCATCCGTATGATTGGTAACTACCAAATTTACCATTTTAGTGGCATGGATTACATGGGTGCTTTGCAAAGTTTTGCACGTGTAATGGAGCCCTTGCCTGATAAGTAAAAAGGGAAGCAGAAAAGTGACTGGTGATGGGCTTAACCTTCTGCAACATTTGCATGACAGTATTGAAGTGTGCTTTGGGTGCTCTGTCTTATTTTACTTTTCATACTAACAGCATCAGTTTGAAGTGTGTGGCGTATGGTTTTTGTTCTGGTGGTGTTTATAATTTTTAGGTGTTAACAGAATGTAGAACACTTCCAGTTAGGAGAAAAATTTTGACTACCAATAAAGCATTTAAATACTTCTTGGAAGATAGCTTGTCTGCCATGAAGTGAACATAGGTTTTGCAGCAGAATTGTTTCTGTATACTTTATTTGTTCTCAAACGCTGCAAGATAAGACAAGACATATGTGCATATATAGAGCAGTACAGCTTTGCACACTGAAAAGGTAAGTGTGTGTTAAACAGGGTGAACATTCAAGTGGAAAGAAGCTGGAAAGACTTTTTCCATTGATAAATTATATATATATATATATATATATATATATATATATATAGAGAGAGAGAGAGAGAGAGAGAGAGAGAGAGAGAGAGAGAGAGAGATTTTGAAGGCCTGGTAGAATTCTTTAGAAGAATGTAACTGTTCGAATTACTTTGGAAAACTGAATTTCTTAATATAATGTAAGAAAATTAAGTTTTTTGTCCATGGCCAGCATATAAACCCTGCTGCTCCCTTCTACCTGATTTTTTTTATAGAATATCTAATTCAGTGCAGCCAGGGTATATGTGTGTGTGTGGGGAGAACACTTGCTTCTGAACCTTCCAATGTTGCCAACACCTGCACTAGCTATTCCAGAGGATGGAGCATCTCTGGGTTGTTCAACTGCTGCTGCTGCCAGGAGATAACAGGAGTGATCAAGCAGCATGACTAGCATTGGCTCATTCACAGCAGCCCAGGTTTAACAACAAAACAAAATTAGCGATAATCTGGATTGCTGTTGTGTGTGAAACAAGCCATATAGTTTTCATATCAATATTTAGTTTGGATGCTTTCATACAAGGCTTTTATTATAATTTTGCCCAATTCTCAGAATTTTAATGGGAGAACACACTCTCCCCCACACCCCCCACTTAACTTAGAAAATCCATTAATGGAAGGATGGAATGGCTGTCCAGTGTTGTGTGACTGGGAGCACTAGAAGCTTTCCTAATGGACAAAAGTAATTCATTTTCTCTTTAAAGAGGTAAGATTTAACTTTTGTGGTAGCATTCCCCAGGTGGTGAATAACCTGAACATGAAATGAACTCACTTGTTCATTTGACAAGGAGCACCACCAGAAGAAGTAGTTGTACTTGAACTTAAAGTTGTTTTGTATGGTTGGTGGAAGTCTCTCTCAAATAGTGTTGTATCTGGCGTAGTTGTGTTTGTTCATTCATTCCGCTAATTTAGGAAATTGAGAGATTCCACATTTCCTGCCTGAATAATATGAATAATATGAGTTCTGGAAGGGTGGGATGAACATGGTCCATGCTAAAAAGATGGGATGACTCTAGATTTGAAACATTTGTAGATGTAGGCAGCATCTACAAGTGTGTTAAAAATGGTTTCATGTCCTTGTCTGCCTAGACCAAGACCATCCAGCAAACAAAGGTACCTGGCAAAGTAAAGGGGATAGCCTTTAACAAAGAGAAAGGATCTTTGGGTTGATCATAGAGCCAACCCTGTGTGTGGAACCATGCCTTGTCACTGAAGAAGCAGCAGCTTGACAAAAGTCTGAGGGTGGGGGAAAATGACATCCAGGCTAAGTGATTTGGTTTGTTCTTGTCTTATTTTGTTCATTCCCAGAAGTTTGAGATATATTTGTAGGTGGTGGTTGAAGCAGATGTAGCAATCTGTTGCTGGAGAAGCTGACCTATATGTATTGACCGTCTTATTCAGCATAACTTTACACTATCTCTGAGCTTCATGGAAGAATGCCCACATTTATGTAGCCAAAGTAGCCACAGCCATGCAAGCGACTGGGAAACTCTTGAGGTTTTATAGAGCAAAATATCCCTTTACCCTTGCCAATGCTTTTTCTAATGCATATGCAGTTCATAATCACCAGATTTCTGTTTGGAAGGTGCTGTGATTCTTAGAGTTAACTTGTAACAGCCCTGCAGCATAGATTACTTAATACTTCAAGTCATTCTCAGACAACACTCCAGTGTTGTCCAGAATTATTATTGTTGCAGATTGAAGGTTAGGCTAAAGCTGAGGGCGTAGCTTACACAAACTTGTGTTGTTAAGCATTGCTTTCTTTGGATATTTTCAGTTCAGCAGAAAGTAGTATTCAATAACCTCGCCGTGTAGTTTATGACTATACCTTCATACCTCATTTGTGACAATGTAGGTTGAGTTGAGTCAGGGAAAGTGGACAGAGACTGGTTTGTTTGGCTTTTTCCTTGCTCTGTTGTGCTAGTGATGCAAAGATAAGTTTAGTTACGATTCCAGTCCCTGTACAACTACATTTACTCACAAGCAAATTAACTCATCTGTACAAATTAACAAATTAGGCTGTTCTTGCATTGAGAGGAAAAAAGGTACAATAGGAGTATAGAAGAGCAGTTGTAGGAATACAGTGTGACAATGACACACTTACAGGAGGGACCTCTGTTGACATGCCCCAGTCTGGAAACAAGCATGTACAAAGTAATAACTGCCTGTTACCCTAGCAGGAGGTCCTGCTGGTGCACTGCAATGGACAGGAACACAGGATCCCATATCTTCAAAATAAAATGTGCCATGAATTAGTAATATAATGAATAAATAAAAATAAAAATTGGGCAAATTCAGAGTTGTAACTATGTTGGGTGGGGGGAACACTGTCTGTATACAGTTGTCTGTATACGGTTATGTCGGCATAGCTTTAATTAAAAAATGCATTAATGCTTTCAGTGCCTTCATGTTACTTAAAATTTAAACAATACAAGGATGTGCTAGTTACCATGTCTTAAATCTATTCCAGTAGTGGTAAAGGAATGTTCTGAAAGCATCTAAATGCAACCATTAAAATATTCTTGTGGTATATGGGGGTGATGGAATTCAGTAATCAAATATTTCAGTTCAGCTAGTTTAATGGGTGAAAAAAAGCTTTTGGGATAGTGTTACAGCTTGTCAAATTAATGGTGTTTTTTGTTTGATTTTTTTTGTGTTGTTTTCTAAATGTAAGTGAAGCATGCCAAATCGGTTTCAGACTCCATAGAACATTTCCTGGCACTAACTATGTAATTATCTAATTGTTCTGAGGGTGCTTTTAGAATAAAATGAAAGAATTCAAGAACTTGTTAACTTAGCCTTGGTTGGCAGGAAATCTGCAAAGCCAAGTCTTCACTTCCATGTTCTTGGATTAACAGTTAGCAGGTTTGGAATTTTAATATAAATGGTTTTAAAAGGGATTAAACAGAATGTGGTTATTGTGTGACACAGGCCTTTAAAAATTCATTAGACTATACTTGATGAAGAAAACTTAAGTAGTAATCCTTACTTATATATTGCCTGAGAAAACAATCAGTAATTATGTGATTGAATATAGTATGATGCAGCATGAAATGTTCCCCCTAAATGCAAAATGAGTTTGCTGAAAGTACCCATGAAATGTAGTGACCCATAAATTTGGCTTCCTTTGCCAGTCAGCAGTATCTAGATAAAAGTTTTTCCTTCTTTTATTACACTTAGGCACATACAAACAAATCATGTCTGGCAGGAGTTATGTGTGGCACAAAGCAGTGACCATAAACACCATGTTTCTCATGGCTGCTTTAAAGCAATCAAGAAAATACAATGTTCAGTATTGGTTGCATGTAGCTTGCCACTTTTTCAAGTTCTGGGTAACTAGTTTAGTTGTGCATTAGATTCAGAGGATCTGTATAGAAAAAAAGTAATGCTAATAGGAATAGCATAATAGCACTAATAGAAGTAGTAGAATAAAAATGTATTTACTGTATGCATGCAAGCCTTTGTACTATTTATAAAGAATGTACACATTTCTTTTGTAGCCACGTCATGAATACTTTAATGTCCCAGTATACTAAATGACTTCATTCATCATGCATAGAGAGAGGCGATAGAGCTGGCTTACTCATGGCAGAACACTTACCCTCAGCTTGATGAATCCAATCATCTTGAACAAATTAGTGTATACCACACAGTTACTTTTGCCGTTTGTGTATTTCTTGTCCTATCATTTGTGATGTCTGTGTTTTTCCTTTCATGTGTCTTGTTAGCATGCCATAATTTCATATTAAACATTTAAATATATCATCAGCACTTGACAAAGCATGTAATATTCAAACAGAAATATTTTGCTGAGCCTAATTTTAGAATTCAAATACTGTATAATACAATATTGTAAAACATAGATACAACATAGAAATCCATTGATGTGTGATAGTCTTTGGTTGAGTAAATAAAATGTTAGTTTAGAACACATTTCCTTATTCACAGGTCATAATGAAAAGCCTTGAAGGCCTCAGAAAAATACTATATTTAAAAACTAAGTACTATGATCTTACATTCTCAAAAGCTTCTAAGCACATAGTGCTCTGTTTATAGAAATACTTTCTCACTCTTTGTAATGTGCACGTAAAGCTGCTGCAACATCTTTAGCGGGCTAGTGAAGACTACCCAAGCAGTGCTATACCTTGCTAGTATTAGTACAAAAGCATCCACAAAAATTGTTGTATTGTAAACGAGGAAAGTTGCCACTTCTGCAGTTTCTCTTCTAAAACATGAAGAGCCTCAAGTGCAGCAGTGGAAGAAAGCTTGATTCTGTTTGTTATTGCTCAGGAAAGTGAATGCTATATTATGAAGTCAGGTAATCGTAAAGGAAACAAATGGCTAAATCAGTCTTATAGAAAATTTCAGATACTATGTTGCAATACATTGCTTCAAGTTAAATGTAATATGGGTACTTCATGAGTGAGTAATTTAATATATTGAATCTGTAGCTTTCTGGGATGTAGCAAATATAGGAAATCTCCCATCACAAAACTTTGCCTTTTTTTGCTATTCTACGAATGTGGTAAATGCTGCTTTGTGTTCTCTTAATGCCCAAATTCTTAAAGTGCTTTGCATGGTGTGCTAATGAGGTGCTCTGTTCTAACTTTATGCAGCTGCATGCTTGTAATTTATGTGAATCAGCTCTCCTGGCATGTCTATAATAAAGTATTGCATGCACTTTTCATGTGAATGGTGTTTTTTTTCCCATCTTTTTTGCTATATTTCCTGTTTACGCACTTTACCTCTGATAGTTCTGATCTGCAGACATAATGTAGAATTATTGAAATTCCTTTTAGCATTTTTAATGGTTCTCAAGCATTTCTAAGTTCCACATTGTCAAATGGCTGTTAACATTTTTACACTTGACCCTTGCAGCTGCCATGTAACTTAATTTCCCCCCAGATAATATCTGTGATTCTGACTAGTGGGGGCAGGGGGAGGTGCCTGCATCATTTGCAGTTGATATTTGAAAACATGATGGAAATAAACTCACCTGCAAATGGATCTTTTATGGAAAGAACCTGAAGCTTGCCTCATGAAAAGGAAAGATAGTGCATTTTCCTGTGCAGTAGATCTGCTTATTAATAAGCATCTTTTTTGCATAAACCAACCAGCCAAATTAGGCAGTGCAAATGAGAGTTCATTTCTTCATCAGTCACAAACATCAGCTTAAGTCCTTGTCAGCATAAAATAGTATCAACATGCGTGATCATACTGATGACTTAACTGTTTGAAATCCAATTGTGATGCCACTCAATTGTGCAACAGCACTCAGCATGCTACTCCAGAGGTTCCAGAAACACCCTTCACCTCTTGTGATAGTGCAACTTTTTGGGGTGGACTGTTATCCTTACATATAAGTTTTTAGAATGGTAAAGATGTTTAAACTTCTGGTAAAGTAGGTTTCTTGAATTTAAGCATCCTAACCGTTGCTTTGCAATGTTGCCTGGTTTAAATTCATTCATGTAATAATGTGCTTTGTCATTATTTTAGAAGTATAAACAACACTCGAATCTTGTGGCCAGCTTCTCTTCCTCTAAGAATTCAAAATGCATCTTTTTCATGTTCTTATGTGCTTTTAAATGCTGCTTTTCTGATGAATTGTTGCTAAACAGTTTTCTTTTGGTTTTTTTGGGCTATGCCTTGTTTAGGATGCTAAAGTAAGTGTGTATACTGTTAATACAAATGTTATAGGTTGTGGTTTTAATAGAGAAGACAGTGATTCTTTGCGGGGAAGAAAAGATTTTGTCTGCCATTACAACTTGTTGCTACATACTTCCAGATCATTTCAAGATCAAAAGTTGCATAATTTTTAAATGCAATGACTATTGTTTCCAAAAGGCTTTAGCGTTCTCATTTGAGAAATACTACTTCTAGAAACTCAATTGCTACTCCTTTAATTGGAGTCCTTTAATGAACACTTCACTGAAATAGATTTGTAACAATATACTTTGTCCAGGAAAATGTCTTGAAGAAAACATTGAAGTGATGTGAGCCGCCCCGAGGCTTCGGCGAATGGGGCGGCATAAAAATGTTTTAATTAATTAATTAATTAATTAATTAAAAAAAAAAAAACCGTGGAGGAGGTTGTGGGGATTGGGGTGAAGTGACAAATGCAATACAATACTTGAAAAGAGCATGAAGTGTTCTTTATAAATTGTGACTGTTTCATACCCTGAATTTACTTCCCGATTAATATAGCATAACAGTATGACAAGAACACAAGATCTGTTCACTCTCTAATTTTCCCTCCACAGGAAGCCGAGACTCCTCGTAGTGTACTTGAAGAGATTGGACTGACATAAACCTCCTCCTTTGCTGATGTCTTATGTGGTGTGTCACATAACTGTAAATGTTCATTGCCTCCATTTAATGTTAGCTAATGGTGTTATGATGCTATTTGTCAGTATTACTGTTCTGCTAAGCTACTTCATTCAGGCCGACAAGAAAAAATCCATTTACTGTAAAGTTTAACAAGGGAGCAAAAGATTTTTTTAAAGCTTTTGAATAAAAGGGATTTCACAGTGATTTAAGCCACAGTAATTTAAAAACTTTGAGTCATAGATGGTAATTTCAGTAATTATATTTTGTAAATTACCTTGCCAGCAAATAAGATATCCAATGTGGCATGTTATGCCATATATTAAAAACAATTACATATGGTAGCAAAGTGAAATGTGCTAACATAGAACTTGGCTTTGTGTAACCAAAGACTTTTATTATAAAGTCAGCATTTGTTAAAGCTCAGTTTAGGTTATTACAGAAGATTAGGAAAAACAACTGTTCGTGGCTGTTTTATTTATACCAAAGAATCTTATCAAGCTCTGTAATGTTGTGAGCTCTCATGATGGGCTTCATTTCTACCAACAGCATTGTAAGCAGAACATTAGAATGATAATTCTACGTTCATGAAAACTAAGTAAACAGGATTACAGGCTGAGACCACATGGAATTTCCTTGTTAAAACTTTTTTTTAAACTACCTGTTATGCTTGTTAGATTGCACATTCCTTTCAAAAGTGTAAAGCAGTATTAATTTTAACATCCTTGAGATAGAGGGAAAATGTAAAAAAGGGATGTTATGAAACAGCAGTCTTTTTATCAGCATCATTCACGATTACTTTAAAAACAGAACCAAAGCAGCTACCTAAATGTGAAAACCTGTAGTTGCTCATCAGTTTTAATTCCACCACGCACAAGCTTAGATTCAGTCAAAGTGCATCTCTGCACACAGTAGAAGCAAGCCTTACAATGGAAACTTAACTTTAAATCACTGCCATGCCTTCATTCAGCCAGTTAACAAAACAGGCTGCAATGGTATTCTGCTTGACTTGGCAGTAAGTCCCTCTGAACAAAAGGGGACTTACTTCTAAACAAAAATGCATAGGATCAGGCTGCATGGATCTCACAAAGCCATACACTATTTACATTTAACAAGCATTTTGCTGAATGTCCTACTAAAGTTCCTGGAAAACTTTGGCACAGAACACTGTTGCACAAAATGTAAATTGTTCTACATCCATGCATGTGTTCTCACTTGTACAGATTTCTGATAATGTGACTAAAGAATTCCCTTCCTCTGGATCCATCGTCAGCAATTTCAAATCATTAAAATATTTAGTGCCACGAATTTAAAAGATTATTACTTTATGCCACATAAAATAGAAGCCTTATGAAAATCATGTTTGCCTAAGGTACACAGGAGTCCTGTTCTACATTTCACTCATGGAATAGCTGGAATAACATATTTCAAGTGACAGAGTGGCCCTCTGTGTGATGTTGAAGTGATGGAATTACTTGATCTTACACAATGTCAACTAAAAAAGCAATTTTTGTGTGTGTTCAAACCATCTTTAAGGTCTACACTGTTGCCTTGAATGTGCTTGGTTGAAAAAGCTTTGTGATTGTGACATAAGCTGTGTGGACACTGTCTTAGTATTGCACTAGTTTAGTTGTAATAAATGTCCATTTTTACTCCATTGATATGTCTGTTCAAGAACTTATGGAAATGTTTGTGTTTAGTTAATCTTGTGGTTTTTTTAAACTGCCAACACGACAGTATACAATCATTTTAACAAAAAACACACTTTGGGATTTAATATATCTTTTAAAGCATTTGTAGTCAGTGGAAATATTGGAATATGAGTCCTCTTTCAGAAATATACTTCACACTATCACACACTTCAGCTTTTACTTTGTTACTCCATAACTAAAATATCCTATGGTGTTATTCAGCAGAGACAAATGGAATCTTGACTGTCTCTTCGAAACAGCCACAACCCCCATCAATTGCAACAGGATAGCAATATTTCAGGTTATAATTGAGCTTTTTTGCTTTCTTGCGGTCATTTTTTTTTGGGGGGGGGGGGGGGGGGGTGGGGGGACTGGAGAACCAGCATTGGCCATTTATGGATGTGTGTGCTGGGGTTGAAGTTATGTTCAAGAATTGCATGAACATTAAAGTGGATTTAAATTTAAACTAACACTCAAATTTGTCTTAGGAAAATTTACTGCAGAATGTGCTTTCATCTTTGCAGAAGATGTACCAGATATTCTGCATTGTAGACCTCTCAGGTAATTGATGTGCACTAGAAAGGCATATATCTAAGGCCTATACACAATATTCCAATTTGTGTCATTCAGTTTTTCGTTCATAAAACTGCCGTTAGTATTGTATAGGGAAAACATACATCATAGCCTCGATAGGCATTCTAAGTAACTGGGGACAGCTAAGTAGCATATATGTCTGCTCCAGAAGGTAATTCTTTTTTCCATTTAATTTTGCAGGGGAAAAAAACATGTATAGAGCTTGCAGTCTGTCTCTTATCACATACTGCAGTGAATTTGTAACTCCTAAGGCCTGCTGAAATAAGTGCATTTATTTCCTGTATCTTACATGAATATGTGGATAGTAGTTAATATATAAGCACCACTTTGAGCTACACATGGGAAGTTACAACATTCATGTCACTATCACCCTGCTTTCATTATTTAGAGTACTTAGCACACTATCCAATTTGGGCTCCAACCAGAGTGAAAAGCCTGGTAATAACTGAAGGAAAAACGATGTTCACATGGCACGTACTGGATGGCACACTCAGGAAGCAGTCCACAGATAAGGAACTTGGACTATGGCCCCAGAGTCCCGCCTCCACAAATGAGAGGCATGTTAATGCTAGCAGTTCTATATGCCCATCATGCCTACTTGCTCTCCTTGCATGCTGTTAACAGCAGTATCAAAACAGAAATGGCTTTTTGCACGCAATATGTTTTGTTATCCAGTTCTACATCCAGTTTGCATATATGAGTAGACTGGATTACACATGTTTGGCCAAGGTGCGTTTTGCAGCCATTCTGAATGTTCAGGCTGAGTGCCATGGAACATCTAAACACAGACAATGTAGATAAACCATCAAATTAACAGTTGGGTGAACTGTGGGCTACTGCAGCCTAGCTAATTCATATTGCGTAGGTTCAGACATCATGTACCTATAATAGGAGCTAAATATTTTTTAAAAGCTGTAGAAAATATGCAGCATGCACTCTGGCTGAATCTGATTAATTAACATATCATTTTCTGCTCTTACATGCAAACAGCATGTAGTCTATCCTAAGATAGCATTTGCTTCTATTACTGATTCAACAATACGGCTGTGCTGTAACATAGCAGTCTTCACCAAATTAGGGCATGCCACTTGCAATTGACAGCAATTTTCAACAAGGATAGAGTTAAAAGGAAGTTGTGGGCCTAAGCATCTAGAGGACATCATCAAGTGGTTACTGTTCTGACTAAAAAAACCTGTTTTGTAAAAGAAATCATACCTGGTACTTTCCATATAGAATTTGCTAACTAGCACATTATTCACAAACCAAGTCAAAATGCAAAGTTATTTGAACTGCAGATTGTCTTTAACGGGTTACAGAACACTGTTTACATTAACAACTGAAGAATTTATCTAAAATAACATGTTTCCATGATGCTACAACAAGCAATTGGCAGATTCTGGAAGATGTAACCTCACTTTCATCTCAAATAATTTCTTACAAAATGTAATATAGGCCAACATACAACAACTTTATTTCTGGAGCATAATAATACACAACATGGCGTCTGGAATGCAACAGCTCTGGCAGCACTAGTTTTTGTTTTATATACAACCTTATCAAGTCATTCTGTAACAGTAAATTCAACTATTCCTTCCTCTGCTACTGGATCTCTTTCTGCCTCGACTCCTTGACTGAGAGGAACTTCTGCTACGGCTACGTGTCATACTCCTGTTGCGACTCCGTCCTCTTTTCTTTTTACTGCGCGACCGTCGCCCTTCATGACTTCCTGACCTCTCAGGGAGGTGCCTTTTCTTATGCTTGTGACTCTTTCTCCTCTCAGATTCCCCATTTCTTTTTTTGTAAGCATGATCAGGACTTGGACTGCTTCTTCTCCTTGACCGGCTATAATGCTCTTCGTAATGGCCCAATCTGTTTCTTCTTTCAGAGTTTTTACCTACCTCTTTTGTCCATTCAGGGGAAATGTGAATATCTCTGTTGGCCTCCCAGAACTCATTATTTGGATTTCTGAATACATGAAGAAAATTGCAATGCTTTCCTCTTGGACATTTTTGCCTTTCAAATAAACCTGAAAACAGATTTTTTTAAAGGTGTAGTTAACATTTCAAGACAGCTGTATTTTAACTTTCAGTCACAGCGTGCACTGTGGGTCTTAGTTCTGTATATATAAAATATTCAATCACAGATATGTAAAGGGGTAATCAGGTTTGGCTTAACTTTTACAGATACCCATCAGTGAAAACTAATCCTTAGCTTAAGAAGTTAGCTATTAGACGGTTTCATTGACATACCACAAATTGCTGTTTTCCACCTTGTTACTGGGCAGAATTCACACTGCAGTTGCCTTCCAGCATACCACCGACCATTGAATAAAGCAAGAGCCTCCTGACATTCTTGTTCTCTTTAAAAAAAAATTAAGAATGCACCGTTAGAAAA